ATTACTTTTCGTCGTTAAATCGCGCTTTTATCCCATAGTGAATTATGATTTATCAGAAAAGATCCAGATAAAATTTATTGTATGGTATATTAAAATTTTTTATAATGATAGTACTACTCAAATTTAAAACCTTCATCGTATAAAAAGGCTAATTCAAAAGTCGAGTCATGCTTTAATTAGTGATCGTTAAAAATTAAATCTTTAATGTTTGTCATCTGGAAAAGGGTCTTTTGTTACATCAAATGACATCGCAATTCATAGTGGTTGTTAAATCATTCTAATTACAGTTAATGGTTCAATTAAAAACGAAGCGGATAAAATTTCATAAGGGCATATAGCCGACATTCGGATTTTTTGGGGATTTTAATCGAAATTTTTATCTCCTAATAATTATCTACGTCGAATCGTAAGTGCGCAAATGGTTACTAAAATAATTATTATCAATGTTTATATAACATTCAGAAATGGCTTAGCTTTATATAACAGTGGATTCGGTTTTTGGGATAAGGATTTTAATCAAAATACAAATAAATGTTATGATGAAGTTATTGGTTCAGTTATCTAAATCTTATTTCTGTATTGCAGGATTAAATTTTGTTGCTGTAAATCAATGATTGCTGAAAATTTATATATTTTTTCAAATAACAAATATAAACTTAATAATAATCATACACGCGAGCTTCAAGTGCTCAATTGAACGAAACTCTGAAATTCGCTTCAATTTTTAAACGGGAAGTTTTCCTTTTTTTTGTGCATATACATGCACTATATCGTATCATTGCAGAGTAAACAGCTGCCACTCATCACTCGCATTAACCGCGTTGCATTTATTTAATACCACATTAGAAAAGTGTCAAGAACAAAAAACCCTGAAACAAATAAATTTCATCTGGTATTGTATCGAATGAATGGCATTTGGTACAATATAGCAGCGGTCCATTTTTATAATTTTATACTCACCGAAACTTAATATTAAAAATCACTTTAACTAATACATTTTAGAGTGAAAAAATAATACTTTAACGGTGTTAGAAATTTCTGTTTAATTTTGTTTAACCCTTAATGACTTTGTATACCTATTATCCTTTGATGAAGAGCCTTGCGTGCTGGTAGATCCAGCATCAGGATTATATAATAATGTTTACTTAATCTCTCATTTCTCAACTATCATCTTAATCTACAGCTATTATATGCATACAAATACCTACAATAAATAACAACAAATATAACACTAATGAACCATACGATGTTGTGTTGTTACATTAATTTTATGAAACGGAAGTGACCATTACGATTCGAAGAGAGTCTGTCGGTGGCGTTGCACAGCAGCTTTTCACTGTTTCAGTATCCTCAAAAATTAGCAAGGAAAAGATACATCATATACAGCATCATATCAGCGAGACTGAGAGAGGCAGATGGAAAAGATAGAGATAAATCGTGGTGTATATTAAGGCTTGCACATCGACGTACGACATATTCACACGCTTCCCACGCCAACTCTCTGTTGTTTGCTGGTTAATGACTAATTAACGCTTTGACTTTATTTTGCCGTTAATTGCCCGAATGGATGTCTCACCAGCTACTAAGGTCATATGTATTTGTTAAAATGTTGATGTTCACTCGATTTTTCGACTCGGATTAACTTTTCCGCTTGATCCAATTTTTAACGACGTATATGACGGTATCAATGAACTTTGGTTCTTATATGGAAAAATTATGGGAAATTTATCGAATATTTAATTAGTAGGAATACCTGCACAATCAAATAGACAGTCCGTAAGATACCCTTATTTGATGAGAGTAATTTACCTTTGTACCTAAAAGTATTTCAATTATCTCCCAAGAGGGTTATTTAAATAAACTGATGCTCCACAAAAGTTAAGGAAGTTCGCAAATTTTGCGATTATTTTTAAAGTTACAGATTTTTGATCAACAAATTTTCAAATATGCGAAATTAAATGTTTTCTCTCATATCTGAGTGGATTTTTTGCACCTACCTCTACAACTGATACTAAATTTGGCGATCAAAAAACCTGCTACTTTTAAATTAATCTCAATATTTCGTGAACTTCCTTAACTTTTGTGGAGCAGTATATTTAGGAGTAAAATAACTAAGTACCCAAAATAGCCAATTACCTATCAACATGTAAATTATTAACTATTATCTATATTTATTAACAATATATTCGAATAATTCACAGATACACTATACAGTGCATTTCTTTAATGTCCCCCCCCCTTTTATTTTTTGAACAGATCAACTTAGAAATTGATATTATTTTGATTGTATTCAGGTAATTATTAAATGTTCCGCCATTTTGAAATGGGTGCAGATATTGACTTTATATTCCAGGGTTGTAGAGTATTTGTCAGGAGCTTCAAAATGATGTATCACAAGACCCCCCTTTCCATTTAAATTTATTTCCCAAGATGGCGCCCAGTCGCCATCTTGAAATTTTCATCTGTCAATTTTACTCCAAAATATAGTAATCATACATTAGTTTCATTATCCCAAATTTCAATTTTCCAAGTTGATCCGTTCAAAAAATAAAAGGGGGGGGGGACATTAAAGAAATGCACTGTATACTGTATAATTTGAAAAATCCGCAGTCGATATATAGAAAGTATTTATAGTAGGTATATGTATAGGGATATGTTGCATATATAGCACATATCCCTGAAACGTCGTGTGTCGTTGGAATCATCGTCGAAATCGTTCGAGCTCGATGCGAAACCCATTTGCAAATATAGAATTGGGCGTGAAACCCATCGCATTGTCGATTTGCGATCTTTTGCTTTTCATTTGCATTGCAAAGCGCGCCGCAATTCGCCGCCGACACCGTGAAGCGTATATAAAAGTTCTCCGGGAACGGCGCCCACGGGAGCCCGGAATCGGTTTCCGGGTTTAGATTGAGTGAATTTCCCCAACATCCCGCATGATCATATTACCTATACGCGCTCTCTTGTTTAATTTCATTTGAAATCTTTAAAGCGCGCGGTCGGGAGATTGCTATTTCGATTGCCCGTCGCTTTCTGGCTCACGGGCCCCTCTTTCTCTTCATATTCGCTCCCTATATTCCTCGATTTCGTGGAAATTCTACCGCTCGAAAAAAAAATTAAATTCGTTCCACGAAAATTTTTATAGTACGGGATTTACCTATTCCGTATAGAATCATACAGAGCAAATAAAACTCCTTAATTTAAACGCTATAACTTGCTCCAAACGTGGAGGTTTTATTTTGTGGAGTACCTACGCCTATGAATCGACAGGATCTTGGAAGATTTGATTGATTTATTACTCTATGGAGCTACGGCATGGCGAATGGGGCATAATTCAATATTTTATGTAAATTACGAGGACTACATAATTGGAATCGAATCGAGGTTATGTTTTCCGTCGCGGGAATTAATTGATATTATGATTCAACCTCGCGCCGGCAATTTATTTACTTAACGTCTCCATTATTAGAGCGCTTTCCTGCCGGGGAAACAACGTGAAAAAATTGACAGGCCGACCGTTAAGAATTACGAGCGAAAGAGTAAAACCAAAATTAATATCTCAATTTCGCCGGTAATAATACCGGACGACTTCGTTAGAACAAACTTCCCGGTATTTATTCGTGATTATTAATCGTTTTTAAATTGATTTATGGCGTTCGCGTCGCGAGCACCGCATTAATTGGCCCTTATTCGTTACGTTTTTATTTGGAAAACGGTTAAGTTTTATGGCGTTTCTATATCGGTAAATAAATACGAAACACATATTGTGCGGTTTCGGTGATCGATTATCCTCCGGCTAATGTCGTAAAATATTAGATCAATTTTTATGGGCTGCGTATGTATCGTTCAATTAAATCTAAAGCTCGACGAATTGTGACCGGATGCCGTAATTGTTTTATCTGTGACATTTTCGCGTTAATTTGGAAGCGTTCCGCAGTTTATTGCAACATTTCTGCAGTGGCGTTCTTAAATTATACCCCACCAAATTATACCCCAGAGGGATTATATTAGAGGATTTTCTCTGTCCACTTTTCCTATTATTATCACATGATAATAATTCATACAATTACTAAAGAAATGAATTGTATACAGAGCTAAATAAATATTCCAAAAAAACTTCTTTTCACGCTAGATAAAATTTACGATTGTCATTAAAAAAGCGATGATAATAACATAGCGTGCCCATGACCGTTACATAGTAGTCGAAAAGCCAGCTCGGTTAATAGGTGTGAAAAAATAGCCTAATATTTATTTTTATATTCGCTAGTAAAATACAAGTCCTACGACTCAATTATGATATTCCTCTAATTAATTTGGTGGAGAGAACGTGGAGATTAAATCGTATGTGAGCGTAATTATCGATGCTCGGGCATTTCTCATGCGATTCCCCGGTGACCGGCCGCTATATGAAATGCACCCCATCGTTGGAAAGACTCTGTTAAATTAACGCTGTCATTAATTCGAGAAATAGATTGCTTTGTTTTGCTTCCGTGACAGATAAAATACGTAAAAAATGTATGAGGTTAGAAAAATAGAAGAGATAAAGGTTCATATTATACGGTATAAACCCTCTTTGTTGTTGGTGTACACTAATAAATGCGTCTGCAGATGTGGATTTATAGCTGGATTTCAAAGACATGAGTTTGAGTATAGAGAGATTAATGATTAAACAAATATTTATTAGTTTAGGATTGCTGATACTTGTTATTAGATTAGAGCAAAATTGAATAGAGATGCTTATTAAAAAATATACAAAATACTTACTGTCGAAAAATCGTTAATTAACCTGGATTTTAGACATTAAATTTGAATAAAAAGATTTAAGGTTAGTTTATGTAGCCCTAGTAAATGTGAAAAAGTAATCAAAAAGTTAGTATATAACTCCAGGAATAAATAGGCATAATAAAGCTTTTCTTATAGGGCATAGAAAGGTCCTTTAAAATTCCCATTTCAAATTTTCATCGGTATAGTATAGTTACCATAAATTTCCCAGTATATTAATAAAATCGAGCTACTTATACATCGTAATATCCAAATTATACACCAAACCAAATAAAGATAGTAAAAATATTCCAAATCAAAGCCATCAGTTAATCCTTTTTAACACTAACGAACCCTACCCCAAACTTCTTCCCGTTCCGGGCCAGGCACTCCAGCACCTTCCGGCCCCCCTCGCAGTTCGCGTACTTCTTCGAAGCCAGCTCGTCTTCGCAGGTCTGGCCCAATTGCTTCAGCTTCCCCAGCTTGGTCAGGTCGCCCTGCAGGGCCGGCGTCAGCACCACCACCGCGCCGGCCCTGTTGAATTTCCCGTCCTTCATGATACCGGCGTTCTCGAACATGCACTCCATCAGGCACTTGCCCGACTTCGTCTCCGGTATTTGGCGCAACCTCAACGTCTCGAAATCTGCCCGGGTCGCGCCCGATTTGTCCTTGCAGCTCGCGAGGACGTTCTTCACCTGCAGCTTCCCCAACGGGTTGTCTATTATCGAAGAGGCTAGAGTGGTTTCGGTGATGAAAACCAATAGAAAAACTGAAATATTAATGATGAAATTGTAACTGACTATGCAATAAGTTATATCCAAACTTACCAATTTTTAATGACCTCATTGCTGTATTTATACTGATGTGATATTAACTGAAGCACCCAGATTGTTTAATATTGCTGGACCGAATAAATTTTTACGGCTAATATCCGATGGGATTTTAATGCGACTGTAATTATACTGATTTTTAGTTCGATAATAAGTAATAATAATGAATGTATAATATACAGGGTGGATCTAATTTTATATTGTTTCACACTTCGATAATCGATTTTGATTCCTTGGAGTGAACAATAATCAACTACACAGCACTTTTCCCTCTGTATAAAATTTCATTCCTCCATATAGCATAACGAATTCGATTATTGAGAGCGTTAGCGACCCCACCCAGCTGCTCCGTCGGGGCACCGTACACCTAGATTAGCTATAGTGATTTGCAATCAATTACAGATTATTTCCACATTAATGAAATTAAAGTGCATTTTCCATTTTCCAAATGAATTGCATAATATCATATAAAGGGTTAAATGTAAACACGTTGCGTGTTTATTGCATACACGATGCGGGGAAACGATAAGGCCCTTAAATATTACTCGAGGTCAGATTAGGGTAGTGCCGGTTGTGCAATGTGCACCACACCAGGAACGGATTAATATTGTTTTCGATTTGTATTCATATGTGCCTACTATAGCATATGTGATGGGATGAAAGGAGAATATAATACATCAGCTTAAAAAGCCATCACACTAATAATAATTTGCAATTTGAGGTTTCTTGTGAAACTACATAAACTTCTGAGTATTGCAGTACCAGTGATATTTGTATGTAGAAATGTAAAAATTGAATTTGAATGTTGCGGACCTGGTTTAATAGAAGAGGTGATTAGGGTTGAATATTTTCAGCTTGGTGTGTTATTCAAGTCCGTTGTTGATTTCAGTCGCATTTCATGCGCGATATAAATAGTCAAGGGACAGTGATAATCGTACATTACTCGTCAATCAAATAAAGGAATTATGGATTAAAAAAACGGCAGCCCTAAAGAGATCCGTCCGATTGTTTTAATGTCGCCCAGACCGATTCCGATTAATTATTAGGATATGCAGATAAAATTATCTACATCAGTAACTGCACATTCTCTGATACGACTATAGTTATTGAAATTATATACTTTAGTGCATTTAATAGCCCAATTTTCTTAGAAACTTAGAGTTTTCTGTGCACATGCATCAGATATCATTACAATTTTGTGACAATGTTGCTTAATCCTCAACCTAAATAAATTCAATTAATCTACGGGATTTTGATAAATATTATTTATTCTTTGGAAAAAGTAGATTTATTGATTTAATATTTTAAAACTTTTATGATTTTTAAATCATTATTTATCAGCTAGATGAAATAATTGTAGAGATTACGAAAGCTTTGAAAACTTACACTCGATTCCTTTAGGATTAGGCACTTATCTGGTTTATTTTTAGATCTTATATATGTACGGGGCAGCCCTGAAAAACTACATACCTACACTATGTATACCCAATATATTAAAATTGAACTAAAACCAATAAAAAATAGAACTATACATTAGATATTATTATTTATATTTATTATGTAGGTATATGCTTATATTCTAATGGTCCTCTATTAGCTTTTAATGATCTAAATAAAGTGTGGAATTATTAAATATCATCCTGTATAGTAAATAAACAGGTGTAATTAAGTATATAGGATTATATTACAAAATTTTAAAATACCATGTTGCACAAAATCGTCCTTTTTACGCAGCTCTCTCCAATCGATGTGCTACAGGCAACAATTCACGAAAGGATACAATGGAAAAGGACTTTAAACCGCGGTGGAAGTCGGACGAGGCAAATCGAGCACGGTGCGTATAGAGAGCGAAAGGAGGCGTCGCCCAGATTTGAGCCAATAAGTGACAATCCGTCCCCACTATTATTGTCCCAAGAATGATTTCTGAATGCCTCGTGGACGATCGAAGGATAATTGATGATTAGCGATTGTTGATTGTTGGGCTGCGCGAATTGACTAGCTATTCTAACTCCTGATGATAGGGCATTCTCTTGCACCCTATTTTTTATGAATAAAATTGAAGAAAACAGGTGAAATGTTAGGCACCTTACTTATATCAAATGCAGTACCAGTTTATGGTACTTTCAATTGAAGAAATTAGCAATAAATTTGCAATTTATTACATCAGGAATACCCATAGGTATTTATAAAATTATTAAATCAAATATAATAATAAACATTCATCATATAATATAAATATTATTACATAATAAGTAAGTAATTTGAGTTATATTATCAAATTTAAAGCTAATTGTAAAGCATCCTAATATTTTTAATAAACCATCACGCGAAATAATTGATTATAAAACTGAAAACCGCGCATTCACCATCACAGAAGAAAACAATAGGCATCTATTGTATAGAGTGTATAAGGTATATAGAGAAGAATTAGATATAGGTTGCGGTCGCAATTCAACCGAAAACATAAATATCTGGTTATAATGATAGTGTTGTAATCCGGCGGCGGCGGCGACGCCGACGCTCCCGGAGTTGCGACAACCGTGAATCAGCATGTAATCCTGTGGGAAACGACACCAGTTCCGCGCTCCTTTGTCTATCTCGCTCGCGGAGCCTAATTGTTAAATTTAATCCTTATTATTGTCTCTGGCGAGGCGAAATATCATCGGAGCCGTCACCGCACAATGCGTACTTAACGTATTCTCTCGCACATAAAACGTCATAAATGTCACGATTCACGCTCGAATTCTTCGCTAATGCCTTTTGCGAACTTTATTTCGGATGTATAACCGACGAATTAGCCGATGCGAGGAACGATGTTTTTCTATAATGTTCTTTTTTTGAACAAATTTATTCTTCTATAAGCTTTCTAATTTCTGTTAGATGTATACAAGCAACTGTAGTATAAATATACTTAATAGGTATGCAGAGAATTAGGTAATTAATTCATCTATAAAAGATAAATTTTATTGAATCGAAAAAAATATATTATTATCTACTTTTTTTGTGACAATCGGTCGTATTGTCACAAATAGTATATTTTTCCTTATACATAAATGGTGTGATATTTAAGAAATTTTGCCTTTATTGAAAATATTAAAAAAGCATCTAACAGAGGCCTTTTATAAATCTCTTAAAAATCTGTAAAAATAATCTTTTTTTTACTGTTATACAAAATCTATTATTTCGATTTCTATGATGATTTATTTTGATTAACCTGTGTAGGAATCTCCTGAGTATCCCATACCCTATTACATGAAACACCTTCTTAATTTTATATTTAAAAAATTACCCATTATAAAACCTGTATAAGTACCACCTAATTAACCAAATCATCATTTCGCATACTCAATAACTCACCGAAAACCGTATAAAAGAATTAATCCCCGCAATTAACTTCTCCCACCGCTAACAGAAAAAAAAAACAATAACTTCCAACGAAATCTTGGCCGGCATCCCCGCATAAAATCGCGTATCGACATCGTCCGAAACTCGCAGATAAACCGTTTACTATTTCATTCATTAAATCCGTCCCGGCGGAGGGCGGCGCCTCGCGCCCCAAGCGCCTCCTTCGCGCCGTAAATCCCCTCGCCGTACGGTCGGAAATCGCGCGGCGCCGTCGCCGAGCGGCCACCTCTACCATTTTCTCCGGCTCGGTCCGCCGGCCGCCGCTGCCAGTACATCGTCGGTAGATAATGGACGAGCACGGTCGACTGATAGCAGTTCCGTGATCAGGCGACAGTCGAAAACGTGCTGGGCCGATTCCACCGATCAAGTGACTCGATTCGCGGCTGCCGCGATGATTAGCTAGTCGCCGGCGGAATAAGGATTGTTTGTTGAACTTGGGGTTGATAATCCGGGGAATTATGAGTTTGGAATTGGGCGCCCATCCGAGTAACGTGCCGTTGGATTTCAGCAACGGCCCGAACCGCGAGGACTCCGGGAGTCCGGAGGTGAACGTGGCCGATTCGCCGAGCTCGAGCCCGCAGGGCGGCAGTAGCGCTTTTACCATTGTAACGCCCAAAGGGAGAGAAGGTGAGTCCGTTTTTCTGTGGGTACTTAGAAACCTTAAAACTCTTATTTTATACATACAAATTTCAATCTGGATAAATCCAAGATTTAAAGTAAGATACATTAAGTTAAACTTCATGGCTGAAGACCACCGAAAACACGGAAGAAAAAGAAAAAATTTAAGATGCATGGATTTCAAAATCTTACTAGATTCTATCCTAGAATTTTTATGTAACTTAGGTTACCTATTTATTCAATCCTCGTCCCCTTAAATAAAAAATATCTCTTCGTACATTTTCTGTCAAAAATCAGAAATATTTTTTAACTGTGGGACATCCTTTATAATATTCGAAAACAAACCAATTTGTAGTTTAAAAAAAGTTCCAAAAAAAGAATTTTTCATCAGTAGAAAGCTTTACTAAATTAAATACGCATCAGAAACTAAAATACGTTGATGGTGCTTTCTATATTTTCTTTTATTATATTTGATCTATTTATTAAAAACTATCTATATAAATTTCCAGGAAAAAGATTATTTATATTTTCCAAATAAGCTGGTTTCTTATATTAAATTATAGCATTGTTAAGAAATTATCTTGGTTATCTCGAAATTAGGCATTATTTTGTATTGCCTTATACAATCTGTACATCAATTGTTTAAAAAGATAATATCTAAAATCTAAAAATTAGTTACATTATGTACAGTAAAAATTTATCTAATATTCTACATAAGCTATCAAAGAAAGGAAAAAAATATTTCGATCCTATAAAATCATATTATTAGTCAATTTATAAACTATTAATAATAGTCAATTAGTATAACCATAATAACTCAAAAGTCAATAAATTTTCACATCTTCAACTATAGTGGCTCAATTATGTATAAATTAAAGATTGCTTATATGAGAACCCTTTATGTACCAAAAGAGGATCTTGAAGTATTGTTTAAAACAATTTCGAATATCGATTATAATTTTTCGAAATGAATTTCATGTTCGATAAGACGCCGCCAATACACACGCTAACTGCAGAAATTTTATCGAAAAATAAATCACTAAATCGACTGCATTTTCTGAGAATTTGATTTTTGAATCACCGGCATTTCTTCGATCGGAAAGCGCAATTTTGAAATTCCTGCCACCACTTTTTCCAAGAAAGCTAAATCAATCTCGTCATATTTTAATCGCCTAATTGCATTTGTAGAGGCATATCTCTCATTCTAATTGCATTCTAATTCGCACCGAGAAAACTATCGATCCATTAATACCGAACATATCTCGCGCGAATTAATCGAAGAAAGGACGAACAAAAGGATCGCTCGGAGTTCGGCGAAAGAGAGAAAAAGATCCGGGGCAATCCCCGGCAATCGCCAATAATAAATCGAATATCGAGAGCGCGGCTTTGCCAATTGGAGAGTCTCCGGAGATATATCGTATTACCCGACACCATATCATAATTAGGATCAAGTCGGATGTATGTCGGTGCCTGGCACAGCTTCCGGCTCAAATCCGGCGCGCCGATATCGGGAAAAAGATTTAGAGTTTATCGGGAAAAGTTTTCTACCGTTAGAGTTTCACTTGCGGGATTTTTGTTTTCCAAAGGATTTTTTTGCGTCTCTGATGGATGTAATTCGCAAAAGGGTTTTCAATAAAGGATACCATCATATCTCAATTTTTCTGCGCTTTATTATTAAAATTATTTCTTGCGATATTTATGAATTCAAGAAAGCAAATTAAGGCGCATTAATAGTTTGTTTTTGTGTGAGAACGAAAGATGTCAAAAATCAGACTTAATTGACCCGGAGGCTCGGCGTAAATTGATTTATTAGTACGAATGTGGCGTTTTTGATATAAAGCGATAAACGGTTTATCATGCGATAATTGCGGGTCCGGCTCTCGTCGGAAAGCACCATATAAAGAACAAACGACCACTTAAGATAATATTCGGCCGTCAAAGGATTTATTTCGGCAGCTGTATTTTTTTCCTCCAATTGTTGCTGATGCCAGTGGACAGTGTATAGTGTGTGGAAGGATGCCGGGCACTAACGTGACTAATCGAGGAAATGATGTAGCCAAATTAAAGGCTACTAAAAAACATTAAGATGATTTTCATTCAAAAAATTAAAATACTCTATAATCACTTAATCAATGATGGAACAATGAAAGTAGTACTGCAAATTACTGCAGAATTAAATACAGGAATGTTCCTGTTTGGTATACATTTTCTTCGCGAATTCAACAACTTATAGGTATCTATAATCTACATTTCAAACGGTTCACACAGAGTAATTGCTGAAAAAATTTAAATAAATGGAAAACATATGTGTGCGTACATTCGTCGTCGTCGTAATCGAGTATACTTTATATAGGAATTAAATGTTTAAAAAAAAGTTTAGTACTAAATCCGATATATAGTGTACGCACATATGCCCGAGTTATTTGATACAATTGCTCGAAAAAAATAAGATTTGTTTTCGTTAGCGGATGTCGTAAAGGAAATGAACATCTCCGTGGTGCGAAAAATGAGATATTTATCTACTACCATTCAAGATCTTTCAAATATGATGCACGGTTAGAAATAAAAAACTTATGCCCTCTGATGAATAAGATACAGAAGGATTTTATTGTCATTTAGTGAAAATTTAATCAAATTAAGATTTTTAATATTATTACCTACCACACACTATATCCAGATTTTCATATACCTATACTCATCAACAAACTACTAAAAACGATCGATTTAAAATTATTATCGAAACGTATGCCAACCAAAAATCATCTGATCATCTCCAATTTTAATTTATTTTAATGAAACAAATTTTGGTTTATACTATATGAAGACACTACTATAAGGTATTATAATCATTGTATTAAATCATGTTTTTTCGTGTTTTAATTTAGCAAAAACGAAATGCTAATGAACGTACTGAGCACATGTGGAACACAAGTTGTGGTTTCCGGATGAAATAATCCACATGAAATTTGATATTGATATCGCGATGCAAAAGAAAAGATTTAATTTTTTTATGATATATACGCTTTAATTGCCCATCAGCTATTTCTTAACAAAATCTGCATCACACACACATAATCATCTATATTTTTAGCTATGGAAATATCTACCGCACAATCTTCTATTATTCATTTAAAAAAATTAGTGATTAAAGTTCGTCCCATCAGGCGTCGTCTCGCGCAAAATCCTGGACCCGGATCGAGAACGAGATCGAGATACAATAACTCCGGGCCGCGAACTGATTAAAAAATGACGAACGAAGTTGATAAAAGCGGATCAGTCCGAGAGTGGAGTGCTAAAATAATTTGATTTCTATATTGAATTCCCTTTGAAGTTGAGGCGCTAGATTGCGTTCGGTCGGGCGTTAATTGAAATTGACGAAAAAATAATTAGTTTTCCGCAGTTTATCATCCGCGCTCTCTTTCATCCGACCATTCGCTTTTGCACGAAGCGGAGTATGATCGAAAATTCGACGAAAAATTATTACGGGAAATTGCCAGTTAAATGTTAACGGTTGTGATAAGAACGTAGATTTTAGAGGATTCAGTTTCGTCACTTTTGAAAATTCCTTTTCCCTGTTAAAATACCCGAAATTTCGTTACATCGGAGAAGCACTTTCAGAAATATGTTTAAATCATTCTATTGCGTCAAGTCCGAAGCAGAACCGAAACGAAACAATTAATTAAACAATTAATGCGCGCATTATTTATAGTTAAAATATGCCCGTGTGACTGTGCACCGGAACGGAAAACAAATAAATAAATCTTTGAAAAATCCCTCATCTCATAGAGCAGCTATTCGAAAATTTAATTTTGCGGTATCTTATCGAATATTTCGAATCTCTGTTTGTTGTAACTGTTAGAGATAAGTTTAAAATTGGTCGTTACTCATTCGTGATTAGTCGATAAATTCATTTATGTTGCGTTTCAGTACCGTTTCGTAACGATTTTTCAATTGGTGTACCCATCTCGTTTTAAATGAATTAATAGCTATTGCTCAAATAAATGTACTACCTAAGCAAATAATGAATTAAATTCTTGACAAGTTGTTTGTTTATGTTGTAATTCAGCTTTAATTTTATTTTATTACATACAAATTTTTGCTCCACGACTCTTAACACCTGGTAAAATTTGCACATTACTTATTTAAATTGGTTGATTAGCTTAATTTCCTCAAAAAATTCAAGTGATTCTGTGATTAACAAACGCTAATATTGTTAAAAATCAATAATCATTATGAGTAATACCGTCATTAATTTTATTGTTAAAAGTTATCTCGCGCTAATTCCATATTATTTTCTTGCATTACACAGGGCCTATGAAAAATCGAAAACTTATGAAATAATTCGTTAATTCGTGTCCGTTACAACTGGTAATAGGCGCAAAATTTAGCGCTGTATTTGCCGCAATGGCTCTATAAAAAAAAAACTGAAATAAAAAACCGTAATAAACAATTTGTCAATTATTAGATATTTATCGTAATGCAGCGTGGAATTCCTTGTAGGTATGCAACAGGCACAAATAAGAATTTTAATAACATTCGAAAATATTTCGGAGAAATTCATTTAGAATTCGAAACCTATAATAATTGAAGAATACCTATTGGGTTTATTCACGGCGTTACTTCTCTGATGCATGACTGTCCCTAAAGAAAATTGAAATGGTTGAGAAATTTGCATGTGCTCGAATTTACGTAGGCTGAACCAGCGAGGAAGTAAGAAATCTGTTGAGCAAGTCTGCGTTTTGTGTACTGGCGCCTGCAATTACGTTATTATTCCGATTAATGAAACAAATCATAAGTATAACTGAAGCCAATTTAGACTTAATTCGTCATTTCCCATCCACATTCTCCTCGCGAGTAATAAGAGATTTGCTAGTATGATTTTTGCTCCAAAGAAAAAAACATCAAATCCAATTGAAGTTAAAACGGAACAAATATAAACTAAAAAGATTATAATGTTGCGTATACATTATTTAGTACAAAATTGGAAATATTGTACTTCCATACAACGGGTCAGATTTGTCATTAATGTTGCATTGTAAACGGATATCCACATCGGAAACATCAATCAGAAAATAATCTTCTTTGGTGAAATTGGTCCGGATTACATTCGTCGATTTCTATCATCTTTGTATGAATTATTAACTACAAAAGTACTTAATACCCATCAACATCAACAGTAACCGCTTGAGCGGTATAACTTATTAAACACGGAATGTTATACAATTGATATACAACCATAAATTTCTACCATTGTGTTTTGGGAAATTAATTAGAAATTTCGAGACTTGTATTTGTATAGGTCAATAATTTATCTTAAAACTGCCGTTACTAGAACACACTAACAATATAGAGATTGATTTTATGATATAAAAAAATTATATATAGGGTGGATTTAGCAGTATAGGTGTGGCAGATAAAATTATCTGTTAGGTAATACCTCCTGTCAGCTGATTATATAGAAGGTTTATATTATACAAATCGTACTTTATAGATACTTATCTTACAGATAACTTATTTATTTGGGCATTGATAAATCTACCCTTAGTATAGTGAGATTTACAAAAATTATCTCTACTAACTAGGTATAGGATAATGAAGCTAGTGTTGTTTGAGATAAAAGATAACAAATTTATTACATGTAGGTATCTACTACGTATTTTTACGTTAAAAAAATTTTCAATTTTCATTGTTTCAGCTCTCGAAAGATCACCTTTGCAATTTTCCTCGCCTAGCGGTTTCGCCAATTATTGCAGAAATGTGTGGAGTTCGCCAATACTATCCGGTAACGCTAGGTATTTATCCTCCTTCAGGACGATTGAAGAAAACATCAAAGAACAATCACCTGGTAAGTCAAATACAACAACTTTCTTTACTCTAGAATCGGGAATATTAGGTCACAAGATAAGCCTAAATTTAGGAAGTAGTGTAATAAAAAATGTTACTTAAAAACTGTTGGTTATTGAACCATACAACATCAACGCGTTATTTAATACACGACGAATGTTTGATCTTGTAATATCAACAATCAAACGGTAATTTACGTTAGATTATATGTGATTTACAATCCGCAAGGCAATCCATCAAGCTGCCATCGATATCTGAAATCCCTGCATTATCAGCCCTTTTATGCCGCCGCTATCTCCTCCAACGTCTGCACGTTTAATCCTCCGCCACACACACAAACAACGCCGATCATTTCGAAACGAAATTTTCACTTATATTAAGCGCTTATTTTCAATAGGACGGCGCGAAATACGACGGTGAAATCCGGAGAAACGCCAAAGTAAAAGCGAATTTGTTCAGCGGATTCGTTTTTACGCGTTCTTATATCAAAGGATTTACGAGTGAGTGTATACCAATATCTCTTATCTATGGTGTATTATAGTTTTCGGTTAAATTCGTCCATCTTCACCATAATTTTCACTACGAATTAAAGCCGTAAAGCGATAAATTTCCTCCTTATTTCCCCGTAATTCTATTAACAAATAGAGAGGGATATTAAAAAGGCGGCTCGTGTCGCTTCAATCGAGGACCCCACAAGTCGGTAGTTGCGTCATTTCCGAACCGGTAGCGGCTAAACCGAGCCGGTGACCCTTCCATTAGCCCTACGTTCAATTAATTGTTTGAACAGTGACCTAACTACTTGTGTAAAGCGCGCAAGAACGCACAGGAGACGGCTTCGAATGAACCGACTGCATGTGCACGATGGGATTTACTTGTTCAATTGAGGAGATTCACTGTATGGGTTAATTGGTTTATTGGTTTTACTGTTTAAAATGTCAAATAGTCGCCCGATTGAACTTTATCTAAATTATAGGGTGGAAAATATGTATGAGGAAAAAGTTAAATTGTGGTGGTTTTTTTTGGTTTAGATGAGCGATTTTATAAGCGGGGTTTTTTGAAATTTTCGAAATTTTAAGATTGCTTAAAATGTAATGATGTTTGTGTTGATTTCTATAGTAATTAGTCCAAATCATGAACTAAATGACCATCAAAAGATCCTCTTATCTAGCAATACTAAGCTAATAAACCTGCGACATTTCAATATATTCAACAAAATCCCACAGTTAATATAACAGAGAGAAGTGAACCTGTTTCGTATTCCATTCGTTCTGTGACTGATTGCTCAATGAAACGTATCGTGTTTTGCGAGGAGTTAATTGTCTCCAGCCCTCCGGGGCGGAATGCAATCCGTCCTTCTCAATTAATACGCCGTAACTCCCTCCTTGTAGCTGTACATCTCGGCCTCGACCGCGGGTTATTACAGCCGTTTGTTCAATCGTGTTACAGTCGCACGGCGCTGCAGAAATCTCTCGAAACGCCGAGCGAAAAAAATGCATGTATAGGTTCGGTATGGATCGAAGGGGAGTGGCCCGGATCGCTGTGTGTTTGTAAATGTTCCATGTTAATAAAGTTCGGGAGGGTTGCGATCAAGAAACTTGTTGTATGTTGAATTTATCGAGCGGTTTGGGGCGTTTAATGTTGGCTGTATTCATTGCTAAACTCTAGCTGAGGCTTAAAACAACCACACTACTGGGCTTTATATTATATCGATTGATATCTTACTTTTTTTTTTCGTTTGATAAACATTGATGAGGTAAGAGATATGCGTGCTTTAGCGCCAAAAGTAGCCGGTGTTTCGTAACAATCACGAACGGACATTTATTATTCAAGCGCCGTCCTAAAATCAACACAATTCGACAAATTATTTGTCATTACTTTTTTATTACGACCCGGAATCAAAAGCACGTTTAGACGATTCGTTAGTTACATATGGCGCTCCTAAATTGGGCTTAATCAAAAATTCCCAACGACCGAAAATTCATAAAATATGCGCAAATATTGCGGCTAAAAACACGAAAAGCAACTACAATATTTCTGTTGGAAACAGAACACTTTTGTTGATTCTTGTAGTTATTTGAGTGTAATAAATTCCACTAAAAGTGTGATATTTGACAATTCGTTGAAGAGTAGCGTTTCACCTGATTTCCCGCGTCGATTTTCCTCCAATCCATTTCCGCCGGTTAAGGAAATTTCACTTCGATAACAGCGAATAGATCGCTTTCGCATGACGCCAGCTGGATAAAACGGAGCGTCTAAAAGCATGTCCCTATTATTTCCCTTTCATGATTGGGTCATAAATTCCGTACGGAACGTACATGATATATTTTTATTTGTTTACCTACGATTGCGATCAATTCGATGCACGAAAGAAGAATAAACATGTATATTCGGAACGAATACGAGTCGTGTGCAAATGCACATTACGCCCGGCCGAAGACTTTCCGATAGCATCGATAATAGCGCCGTATACGAATCGATTTTTTTTATTAATTCGTGTAGTAGATGTTCGTTATTATTTTTATATACGCCGTAAATTGTTTCATTATCGATGTATTAAGTCATTTTCGGTCGTATAATTTTGTGTAATATTAGTAGCACTTAGTACAAGCGCACGTTATTTCATGTTAAAGTAAAAAGTTGAAAAAAAGTGACAATAATCGAGTAAATAGATTGTTATCTTATAACTTTCTTGGTGAATATGTTTTCTAGTGCTTCAAGGAGATTTTAATGAAAACTTTACCATTGAGTGAGAATATGGTAAAATAAAGATTTCCTTGGCGTTTTTCCGGTCGGAGTTTTCCTCGAAGTGAGCGTTGCGTACAAATTGCCGAAGGAAAACTATTAGGGGCTCCGCGGCTGTGTCAAGTGTTTACATAATATTTCAATGTTTGCTTGTTTCCCATGTGACAAGAGGGTTGTTTCGTGACGTTTTAAATCAAGGATAGAGGGCGGCCGCGTGTATATTGCGAGCGGAAGGCGACCCGCACGGTGACGGGGAATTTAACCAATTTTTCTTCGCCTCCGTTTCGAATTGTTTTCGCCGCGAAGAAGGTATTTCCGACGGTCTAATAACGGAAAAAACGGAAGCGACGCATTCATATTTAAACACGTACGGATACGGACGCTTTTCCGGCCGCTATTTTTCACCGACGAACGGACAGGAGTTGCCGTGGAATAATTGGTTCTCGAAAACGAACCTTAAAATATCAGTGTATCAGCGCGGTGCCAATTTAATTAAATAATGGTAAAGCCGATAAACTTGACAGATATATACGACTTGATCCGATCTAATGTCAATATCCAGCCAAATGTCTCGGCGATAATAAACAGTACAAAATAAATGGTGGATATTCGAAATGCGAATATGAAAGCATAGTACGGGATATATCCACGACGGTTTATTATCTACCAAAGTTGTAAATCAAATTTATTGCTATTATCTATTCGTTGATATCAGTATTATGTCGTGGGTTAACAAAAGGTTTTATAGAATTTAGTTAACAATTTTTTTAATGCAACAATTACATTAGGATTTTATTGGACTTTCAAAACGTTTTTCTCTTTTTTAAGTATCCCTATTATATACCTAATTCAATAAATATTGAATTAACTGGTACTTAAAATAATAGTAGTACCTAAATTTAAATTTATTATCTGTTTATAACGGACTCGTAAGACATTTCATCAAATAGAAAAAAAAATCACATTACAATCTCCTTTTTATATACGTGTTGTCTTTCTCGTCGATTTAATCCTCGTCCTCGATTCAAATCAAAGACTAGACGAACGAAATTATTCGCGAGACGAAGCCAAATAAAACGTTAAATACAGAGAAAACGGCGCTCTTTCGTCGTGTATTCATTAATGTCTATTTCGAATGCAAAGTGCACAACGGTAAACGCTATCATTTTAAGATTAGTTGAGTCACCGGGATGAAGGGTTGCCCGGAAAAATCCTAATCTCTTCATTGCACGTTTCGGCAGGATTAGCAAGATTTTTATTCGTTTTATTCGCAGAATGACAGATGTTGATGGCACTGCGACGGTTCATTTCGAATCATATTATGTATTTAATTAAATATTAGACTTGGAAACTCCACTGTTAGTGTACTTTACATAGTCGAATCGACGATTCGTTAAGGGAAACTCTTGCATCGCTACTGTTATACAATAGTGTTAATTGATTTTACAGCTTTAGATATTTTCGATAAATCGAAAGATTACTTTTATGGGGCTCAGATAAATTGCGTTGCTGAAAAATTATCTAAATTATTTTATTACAGGAATCTTTTAGCCGCAGTGGAACAAACAGAAGTAGAGCTCGGTCGCGTTAAAGTAATGATAAATTCGATAAAATTTATACGTATTGTCTATAAAAATTTATGGCATTTCTTCGAATTCGACAATAAAATAAAGAGTGTTAATAAAACGACCGATTTTTCTCTTGCTTAAACCTGTGATTTAGAATTTAGTTTTTATAATATATTTAATTATATGCTCAATATTTAAGGACCTTCCTTTTGGTTAAAATTTTCTAAAATATCTCAAAATCCTTCTTGAATCACCCTATTCATAATACTACATATAAATTTGCAGAGGTCATTAATTGGCTCATTGATTGGCTATTAAACTAGGGGTAGGTGTAATGTACGAAAACAGAAAATCCCAACGAAACAAGATATAAAGTTGCATCTAAATTTCAACGAAATGGCAAAGCAAAAAAGAGCAAATCAGCATGTGTATACATGTATTTCGATTGTTGAAATAGCGCTGATGCGGACGAACAGCTGTCACTGCGAAGGTCATGAAATATTCAAAAGCCACCCCTAGCGCGCGTCACACTCGCATTCCTTATCGCAATAAATGAGTCGGGCTCTCTCTGTTCGCAACCGGGGCCGTTTACGCAGGGGTCGCCCGCCCCCCGTTCGAGAATTAGCCCCCGTTAAACTATTCGGTCGCGACCTAATGATTCGTGAAACTATCAAAAGAATATATTATTAACTGCTCGCCCTCGAGGGAAATGTTCCGAAACATACTAATATGTTTAAATGACTTTATTGGAATTATGTTTTCTTCTTCTTTTTTCTCGATGGGGATGCGTTTTGCGATTAAATTAATTTGTATTTAGAGCTTCATGATACTTCTAGAATAAATACAGTTCTCTCAAAATCAACAAATTGATGAAGTGCACTGTTAAAATAAATCTTGTTGACATCAAGTTTTTTACTTACAAGCCAACCTGTAACATTTGCTAATCATCACTTCTCATCATTACATTATTGAGTTGTTATATTTCTTTTGCAGAGCCGATTAAATTCGGCGTAAATCGACTAGTATCGAAATTCGACGACGAAGATGAGAACGTCAACAATAACAACAACAACAACAACTACTCAAAAATGTATCACCCGAAAGAAGAAAGCTACTGCAGCGGCGACGAACGATCGTCGCCCAAGTACCACCACACCAGCTGGGAGCGGCAATCGGCGTCGTTGAAACCGTCCCCGAGCACGTCGCCCGAATTGGAAGTGGACTCGCCGGCGCCCTCCCGCTCGAATTCGCCCTTTCGACGGCCCTCGCCCGTCACCGAAATCCAGAAAATCGACCCGTCTAGCAAAAAATCGGAGGCCTTCTCCGTCAGCGCCCTCCTGCGACCCGACAATCCCAAGAAAGTCGACAATCCCTGCGTCCAGGAAACCATATCGGTGACCAGGTCGTACATCTACCCGCCCTTCATGGACTTCGTCAGGGACGCGCAGCTGAAGTCAGCGCAAGAGTACACCTCGCAGCTCCTACCGAGACACCTGGCTCCGTCGGGAGCCTTTCCTTCGAACTATAACCAACAGCGGGAAGGCGAGGAGCGCAGCTTCCTGCCCACGCCGACGTCGCTGTACTTCAGCGCCGTGGCGGCGGCGATGGCGGCCGGCCAGACGCAGCACGGGTACCCGGCGCCGCCCACGCCCGAGGACCTCTACAGGCTGAGGCATTTGATGAGCAATCCGCCGGCGGGCCACCCGTACCACCACCACTTCCTCATGAGGCCCGGCCTGGTGCCCATCGGGGACGTTTACTCCTGCATCAAGTGCGAGAAGATGTTCTCCACTCCGCACGGGCTGGAGGTGCACGCGAGGAGGTCGCACAACGGCAAGAGGCCGTTCGCCTGCGAGCTGTGCAACAAGACCTTCGGCCACGAAATAAGCCTCAGCCAGCATAGGTGAGCTGGTCTCGCGGTAGAATTTACATATATATGGTGGAAAATAATCGGTGTTTTTGTTGCAGAGCCGTGCACAACGTGGAGAAGGTGTTCGAATGTAAACAGTGCGGGAAAACGTTCAAGAGATCGTCCACGTTATCGACACACCTGCTGATTCATTCCGACACGAGGCCTTATCCTTGTCAGTATTGCGGCAAAAGGTTCCACCAAAAGTCGGATATGAAGAAGCATACCTACATTCACACGGGTGAGCTTTTAATGTTTTTAAGGAACTATTGAATTATTCTATTCATTCATTCCAATAACCATTATTTCATTATTTTTTGATGCAATACAAAGCTTGAACTAAATGCAGAAGCCAGATTTTACCTTGAGAAACTTGTGTTTACCGAATAGAGAGCCTTGAATTTAACTTAAGAATCTTTAGTTTACCTACAAAATCTTGAATTTACCTATTAACTTGAGATCCTTAACTTGATCTTTTTACAAACCTTGACTTTACCTTTTAACAACCTTGGATTTTACTGTGAGAACCTTGACCTTACCTTGAGGCCTTCAGTTTCTCAATACAACGACGAATCGCCTCGCAAATTTACCAAAAACTTTTCTATTTCTACATCCACTTTTCCGTCGCTTCCTCCGCCTGCTTTTTCTCCCTTTAATTTCTCGTCGTCTTCGATCCCCCGCGATTGCGATTCGACGAGCGAAACGAAAAGATTTCCTCCGACGGACGCCTAACGACCCAGCCAGCGCCCCGGCCGATCCTCCAAAGAGAGGAAGGCGAAAAGGCCACGGCGGCGGCGGAAAAGGGCCCCGAACAGCGAGAAGCGGGGGGCGGGCGCTACGTGCCCGAAAACTAATTAGCGATATAAAAATCCGTCGAGACTTAAAAACAAATGAAAGTGCGACCGTGCCCGCCCTCCCTAATTGGTCCGGGAAAGTGGAACAGCCGGCGAAAAAGTGACAGTCCGCATGCAGGGCTTTCACAATTAACGGAATAGGGAAGAAAAAAAATACACCGAACGGCAAAACCGTCTTCGCCATGGGCGTATTATCGAAAAAAAAAACAACATTTATTTGACAGATGACATTTGACAAATGACGTTTGACAGATGATGTTTGACAGATGACTGATGATAAATGGTGTTAGTTGACAATAAATGTTATTCGATAATACTTCCAAAGTAGTATCTAAGTGGTTTTATGCATACTATAAAAAATATTTTTGTTATATTTTTGTATTTGAATATTTGCGTCGACGCTGCTTGTATTGTCAAGAAAAAACTGGCGGGTTTTAGCCGGAGGCGCAATCGAAAGTGCCGTCGGCGGCGGGAGGCGGGGCGCGCGCGGCGTTCTCGCTAATTTTAAAAATGGACTTTTTCTTAATTGCGAAAAAAGTCTAATTATAAGAAACACAGAGGACGTTAATTGATTCGGTAACACGAAAGGAACGGTTCTGCTTTAAAATGATTATCATTTGAAGCGGGCCCCGAGCCTTATTTATTATTTTGATGGGGATTACGTGGCTCTGTTTACTCCGGCGACGGGCGACGCGAAAAAAAAATGAGAGCGAGGGTGGTAATTAAATATTTTTCACTGCTTAGTTTACGGTCTGGCACAAATCATTCCTTCTCCGGGAATTTTTAATTACGCCGGCAATTTTTCCTCGCCTAATGCACTTGCAGTGTACAACAACCGTTTTCAAATACTAATACAAATCTTGATCGTTCCATTCGGTTTTACTAACACCACCTTGGTTTTATTAAACTTTCAATAGAGCACCGCCTGCGTACTCTCCTTCCTCTCGAATTTATCGAACGCATTTTCTCACGAGTCCTGATTCCCGCCCGATAATAAACTCGCGTCCCGCGGGAGACGGAAAGCGCCCCAATTATGTTGCCCTCCTTCGGGGAGCGCTCGGGAAAAATTTATGGAAGGCCGCACATGTGATAACCGGAGCGCGTCCAAAAAATCTTGGGCGAATTAATTTCGCGTGCACCTAAATGTTATTCCTGCCGCTTCCCGTGCTGTTTTGCCAGCACTTGACCGACCTGTTTAAAGCAAACAGGAGAGCGTTGAAGAGCGCCGAGTGCACATCTGCGCTCGGGGGCGCGAAAAGAACAAAACACTTCACGGTTTTCACCCTCGAACGAGTGTAATGTTGCTAATGTTATTATGTTGTATTCTCTGCATTCTGTATTTTGTTTTGCTGTTTTCGTCGAGCTACTGCAACGCCTGTTATTTTTTATATTTTTATGAAAATGAAGTGTAGTAAGAAGCTCCCACAAAGCTACAATTTTTTGAATTGTTCCAAAAAATTTCTACTCAATTAGGTAATGCTATTTTTTGGGGGTAAAGGATTAAGGGTAAAGTGTGGCCTACAATATGACCGGGCTCTTTACTCCATCATGACACCTTGTAGATAAAATTATCTTATCTATGTTGGCAAGCAAAACACAAATATAAAGGGATTTTAAGTGATAATATACTAGATAGGCGTTTCTCTATAGAACCCACCGCCGAACCTACCTAAAGCCGATTAACTTAATTACCCCTAACTGGAGATTCTCGGGGATTGATGTTTATTAAATCGAGTCGACTTGGCGTAGGTATCGAAACGAACTCCGGGAAAGCCGCCTCGCAATATTCTATTCACCCCAAAGCCGACGCTCTCCCGGCGCGGGTGAGTTGCGGAGCGTCTCCGCCGGCCGACCGGGCCGTTATTAATTGCCGACGAGACTCCACGGTAAATTATTTACTAATTAGACAAGAAGTTGGGGGCCGCAACTTCGCGCGCCGTTAACAAGTTTACGGATATTCCGTACCGCCCGGATCGCGCTGCGAATTTGATTAGTTCGGACCGGAGACAAAGGCATCGCTATTGACGCTAACGACTCCACTATATCGATGTTCTCCAAGAGATTAGGGATGCTAGAATTCAACACTTTTTTAATAATCGAACATCGACTTATCGAGCATCCAGCTACTCATTCCATTACACCAAAACCCCACCACATGCAATTGCTATATCTTATAATTTTTCAACCAGCACCATACCAACAAACCATCCATCTAAAATCTAAATGTTAAATACACCCGGCTGGTGACCGGACTCCCCTAGCACTCTTCGCTCTTCGGTCCATTAGAGGCACGCTCTCGGAACAAAAGAGCATCGCTGGGTACTCGGGGATCCCCCGCGGTGTAGAGTTACGTGATAGCATCGCCCCCTCGAAGGGCCGTCGGCGCGGCAACGCGACCGGCGAGGACGGGACGGCGGGCCCCATTTCGCCCTTACGCGCGGCCGTGCATAAGGGCGAGAATCGCCGGAAACGGGCGGCCGTCGGCGGACTGTTCCCGGCCGCGGAAAAATCCCCATATTAGGTGGCGGGATTAGGAAAGGCAATAATGATAATTGTATTAGTATTGAATTGTAATCCGGCGCCGCAAGCCGCAGATGATTCTCACGCTTCCTGCCAATTATGGTTATTGGTTCTCGGATGTCAATCGAGGCCCGTTCGGCGCGCCGAAAATTTAATCTAATCGAATCGAGGCCGATTTGATAAGAGTCTGTTTCTACTTTAATTGCCTTTCGGATATGTGCGATTGCTCGAATCCTCTTGCAAACTAAAATCCGAGCTATAATTAATTTAGAATTTTCCACAATTTCTTAAAAAAAATTGCATGAATTAATGCATCACTGTACAAATTCTACAAATGTTTACACAAAACTGAGTATGAATGTACTACATCAAGACTTAACTGGAATTCTAGTGCCTGATGAGCAGATTATAAGTATAACTATAATTTTCCCTATAACGCAGATCTCCATCAGCGAGATTACATTTCACGAACATCCCGTATGTTATTGGATAAAAATCAAATGTAACATGGAGACCTTGAGGGATTAGGTGGCATGTGGTGGGACGTCGGTATGAAAGCCATTTGTTGTCTTAATTTTATTAGCACCCTAATAACGACAAAGCCCTGTGCATGTCCCTACGCACATAAACGGATATAGTTTTGCAGTATCCAATTGCAAATCGCAACTGTAATGGGATTCGCAAGTAAAAGGGAGAGCGCGAATTTTTACACTAAAAATCTTGAATGGGTTATACAAAATTACGACCTGGCAATAATTTTCCCGTACTCTCAAATTCGAATAACTGATCAATCGCAATTAGGAGCAGAGCTGTAGATTCGCATCTGCGTTTTCGATTCCGCGATTAATTTTTTTTATGGTTTTCGGTGGGCGATCGCGAGCGAGCGGGAGAGAAGAAGCATCGACCCGGATTCGGCGATAAATCTTCGACGGAACAAGGGAGCGTAAAAAACGAAAAATCAAAAATACATTCGGGGTCGCAGAGATAATAGCGAGGCAATCATTTCTTAAAACGACTTATATGAGCAATACGCTTTAATAATTGAACATTATGGGCTTTTGGAGGAAGCTCTTAGAGAGATTGAGCGCTCTAGTTGCCCCATATAACGGTCTGTATTAACTCTTGCTGTGCTTATGTATGGATGGTCCACAGGACCGGATTTTATCGATATATTAGCTCGAAAAATTTAAATTTGGTTTAAGTCCGATAAAAATATCCTGTTTGTCCATTTGACATGTTAATTAAAATTTAAAGAATGTTTATCAATTTTGTTTAGAAAATTTTTGGAGTTTTAACATACAAATTTGATATATCTAACATGTAACTACTTTTATATTTAATTTTGAATTTCATTATCTTTATTGCTTTTAAATGCATTTTTATGTATGGAAATGTTAGCTAAAGTTAAAAAATTAAGCTAATGCAGGAAAAATTAATTGAATCAGGACGAGGGTAATTTGTAGGTAATGGATATTAAGGAATGCCTTTTTTATTATAATCTTGTAAATATCTATGAAGTAAAGATGTTTGTAATTACAGTGGATTCGGCCCTGACTTTAGTATTTTTGCTTTCTGATATAAAACAGACCGTTGTGGAGGCATCGTCGTAATGGCGGCAGATTTCGCGCCGTGGTTATGTTTTAATAGAATTTACGGTTATTACTGGAAAAGAGGGTTGAACGTCGGAAAAGGGCGGCAGATTTTAGCTCGTTTCAAGCGATTATTGCCGTGCACTTTACGTGATGATTTTCGCATTTCGCCGTCCCTCCTTCTCGCCGCCGCCGCAGCCGGTTAACTTTTAACGTTTCTTTCTTGTTTTTTAAACGGCTCTTTTTCTTAGTTAATGGAAACAAGAACACCGGCTAGGGGTTGCGATGCCGTTTAGAGAGGAAAAAAATAGGAAGCAATGGGTGTAAGTGAGTGAAATTTGTAATTAGAGACTAGCGCTCGCCGGTGTAATTGAATTAAAATTGCTTAAATTATACTAATACTACAAATAATGAATATTTAACACATAAAAATCTATTAGATAACTTTGGAATGTTATTATAAAAGTAGAATAAATACTAATTTATATACTTATTCTATAAATATTTGGTAAGTCAATATACCAATAATTTTAGAACATTCTGTATAAGATTCTGGAGAAGATATATTCGCGATTCTCGACCGAACGGCAACCGCCCATCAGCCGGGATTCCTCTTTTACTTATAACCTCTCGTTAATGATTGACGTTTCACTCGGGCCAATCACTGGTAACAGAAAATCGATATTCTATCAGGACTCCAATTCGTCGTGAGTAAATTACCGGCAATCCGAGAGTTTTTCCGAGCGACCGTCCAAATTTAATGAAAAATCCATTTTCCCGTTCGGCGAAAAGCGGCCCCGAAAAGATAATACTTAAAGGTCCTTATAGCAGGATCAGTGTCGTAACTTCAGATGAATTTTTACAATAGAAAAATGTTAATAGAAGATTGAATTGTAGTGATGAATTTCACCTGCTTATATAGATTAATACTGGTTAATATAACCTAATTTTCTACGATCTTTATAATGGATGTAACTTTTTAAAAGTGGTTATTCTGTACATAATTCATAGACCCAATTCTTATGCAATTCCACAATTTATGTGGATATATGAGAGGATTAAAGGTCCTTATGGCAGGAGCAGTGTCGAAACTCCAGGAACTAAACGTTGAATTTTTATAATAGAAAAATTTTAATAGAAGATTGAATAGTATAGTGTATCTGCTTAGATTATTACTGGTTAAAAACGTTAATTAATTTTCACTTTTTTCGAAATCCTAATTTTCCATGATCTTTATAATGGGATGTAACTTTTTAAAGGTGGTTGTTCTGTACATAATTCATAGACCCAATTCTTATGCAATTCCACAAGTTGTTATTAAATACTGCGAATATATGAGAGGATAAATTTCGCAGGAACCGTCACTGAGCGCCTCTTCGCCGGGGCCAATCAGAGCGCGCACTTCGCCCACTAAATTTAGATTGGCCGCAGGCTAAATATTTTCTTTAGTAACAACGGCGGGATTAAAGTTTGCTCAACGTACTCGGGGACTCCGGTGCCGCTCCGAACCGAACCGGTTTTGGATTTGTTGGTTTTTCCCTGCAATTTCGCTGCAAGTGCCTTCGACGTTGTTTGCTCACGCTCTCTCCTCTTCTCCGCCGACGAATTTTCCGTAATTTTAAAATCGATCGAGCGACAACAGTCGACGAATTTTCCCCAAACGGGCATTTTTCCACGGCCGAGTAATTACCGAAATATACCGAGCTCATTCTTCACCCGTTCTTAATTAGTTATTTTGTGCTCTTTGTCTTTAGAATCAAGCAACAATGAGTAAAACCAAGCAGTAATTTTCATGATATAATATGTAGTAGTTCCTCTAATTCAGCTCCGGCTTGCAGAATATAGACAGCGTAAATTAAACCGGTCGTTTCGAATCGAGCGCCGTAAGTTCCGGGCTTAATTCCCGCCTAGATCGAGGCCGATATCCCGCCGGCGAATTCTGCAGTATTTATTCGAACGATCGGCGGCATTAGCGCTCTCCCAGACGTTAATAAAGAACGAACGGACCGAATTGCGAGCGATAAATCAAAAGCGGTCATTAAGAGACTCCGCGCCCGATTTTCGGAGAGAGTCAAATTGAAATTCCAACGATATCGCCGGCCGTAATGCCCGTGCACGCGCGAACTCTGATAACCGACCTATAAATTTCGATTCCGGCTGGTGCGCAACGAAACCCACCCTTCCTGCTCGACCACGAATTAATTCCACGTTTTATTTTTTAGTCAGTATTTAACTGCGCAGATCCCACAAATTCTTCCAAGTCTAATAACAGTTGAGTTACCACAGAAACGTATAAAAAATGAGTCGATTTTGTCTATAAAAGAGTCGATTAATTGAGAGTGTTATTTTTATATCCAAGAGAGTCAACCATCAAATTGAGCGAGCGAAAAATAATTTACAATTGAATTACTCTGCAGTATAAAAAATACTTACGATATCTGTACTATCAAGTAGGTACCTATAACGATGAAAACTACATAATCAGAGGAGTGTTTATAATGAAATTTATAGAGATGGAAAGAGATAAGGAAAAATTCCGGTCGCCGGCCGAAGAATCCAACAAAGATTCACGACACAATATTAATATCCCCTTCGGTGGCAGAGGTTGCCGAGTCCAATATCCCGGGAATCCCGGACATTCCTAAATGCCCTGTCCCGTCCGTACCCGCAATCCCGAAACTATGTTCGCTTACTCACCATCCCGGAATGCGTTCTGTAATATTAGACCCGGAACATTACTCGAACGTATATGAATCGCCGGATTTACCCCGGATGAATTTTAAACAATTCGACAGCCGCTTATTGCATTTTTTTTCATTTATATGCCACCTATTCAACTGCATGATGAACCTATTGTTTTATAAGTACAACAATCAAAGTTCAATTTACACGAAGAATATTATTTTTTTACTTCATCATAGATCCTGTATACTTGTTTGATGTATATGATTGTATGCAAGTAGTAAAATGAAAAAAGATAAAATAAGAAAATCGTCGAAACGAGCAGGGAAAATCTAAAATAATCCGTTTCGTTATCAATCAACCTAAAGATCCTTTACGGTTTTCGGTGATTTTATCTCTCCTCTTATATGCACGAAATGGCCTCATCGGGTCCGCGTCTCCCGCAGGATTCGCGAATCGGCTCGTCGCTTCTTTATCAGCAGCGCGATATCGGCCGTTTTTTATCTTGCTCTCGGGCGCTTAGGGCTTCGTCGTCATAGCGACCGAAGGGCACGGGCGGGGCTCCGCCGAAATAATGGCACGAATCACGGCCGCCCGCAAACTCTCTTACTAATCGATAATACCTAAGTTATGTGTACATTTCTACCTATACATACCTATACATACACTGTTATCTTATCAAAGTAATAAGGATTTTTATTGTATAAGATATCTGATGATGATTATTCTTTGTCGACTAATTTTTGCATAAGATTTCATGAGTTCATCTTCTGTGTAAATACATTTTTAATGTACTAAAATTGATGGGACTTCACCGTTTAAAAAAATCACTATTGCCAACATAATTTTTCACCAAGAAATTTTGCACCATTACTCACTTATTGTCATTTTAAAAAATATGGCGGAACGTGTAATTTTACCACCAAAATTCTTAAATAAAAGTAAGTTATATTCTAATTTTTCCCATCGATAATCCATCTTCGGCTGAAGCGCATTCGAGATTTTCCGGGGAGCGGAAACTCCGCCGTAAATCGCGTTGACCGAATTTCCCGAAAGAGAAAAAAATAAGCGCGTTTCCGATCGATCAATCTGCGAACGTCCGGGGCTTCGCAAAAATGATAACTCATCGAAACCGAACTATAATCGCGGCGCGGGGAAGATTTATTTTCGCGAATCTTCCGGAACGCTCCCCGGTGAAATAGAGCGCGCACGTGAGGAAACCGGCCGAGGATTCCGCTCCTAATAATCGAGTTTTAAATATCGTAGATGTCGTTTTAGTTTATAATAAATGTTGGAAAATGCTTCGAGGAAAAGATTTTCTCGCAATCAGTAGATTCAGTTAATCCTGCTATTATTTAACCAAGGCTATGACTTAGAGGTAGACTTTTGGTACTTATGAGGTATATAGAGGAAGTGCGCCATATATGGACCACCAAAAGCACTTTTCTCAATAAAAAGTCGAATTTTAAATTTGAATCAGCTTTGTTTATATTAAACTATTCCTTAACCATTTAGTTAAGAAAAACTCGTAATAAAATTCTTCAAAAAAACAAAATTTTTGAAATAAATAACATTTTCTAAAGTATGTCATTTTTATGAAGTTTCAGAAAGTGAACATAATATGGACCACATTCAGATTTTTCCATTTCTAGAATATAATTGACTAATTCATCTTCCAATTCACTCGGTAATGTTGATTGTCTCCCAAGTTTTTGGGTGGTGATATCATTAAGTGATTTGTTTTGGTTGTATGTTTTGGAAGCATTCAAAAAGCCCATTTTCTTTTCTCGTGCATTTTTAATTACCTATACTATTGCGTTTTTTATTTGATGCTTGTCCGGTCTTCTCTATTGTTTTAGAAGCCATACTAGAACATAAAAATTTATTTTTAGTCACTCCATATTTAAAACGTGCCACTGGTCCATATTGTTATACTCATTTTGAGATTATTTTTTTTCAGAAAATTGGAATATTATAGAATATTAAAACTTAATATAATTAATTGAAAAATGACTCACCTTCCTCGTGGTCTTATCCACTTTCACATAAAATAGTATTTTCTGGATTAAAAGGCTTCCAAAGTTCGCTAGAAAATTATATCGCGCGTTGCAGAAAACTAAAAAAGGCTTTCGTAAATATATACCTGCATCCTAGATCACTGCAAGCGACAGATAGGTCAAGGAAGGAGTGAAGCTTAGTGTTTGATGATCATTTACTCGATATAAAGAACGTTCTTCTTAAAATAGCGGTGGCCCATATTATAAGACCGGTCCATATTTAGCGCATCTACTCTATCGAAAAATTCAATTAATAATCCTGCTATTATCAAACCAAAGCTATCACTTACTTCAATTTCACCACCGTATACCGACTTACGAGTATACCTATACCTAACCATCATCATTCAAGCAAGATATTTTCTTCATTTGCAGGCGAGAAGCCCCACAAGTGCACCGTCTGCGGCAAGGCCTTCAGCCAATCCTCGAACCTCATCACCCACTCCCGGAAGCACACCGGCTTCAAGCCGTTCTCCTGCGACCTGTGCGGCCGCTCCTTCCAGCGCAAGGTCGACCTGCGCCGCCACAAGGAGACCCAGCACACCGAGCTGCGGCCGATGGTCTCATAGTGCCCGACGGCCGGAAGTACCAGTCGCGCACTTCCGGTCGGGGCGTACGACCCCGAAGAGGCTCGGCCCGAACCGACGGCGACGGCGGCCGCCGCGACGGCCCTCATGCCGCCCGTCAGGTCTGTGTTGTCCGGCATCGGTTGGTGTTCGTAGAGACTTTGTTATAAGCCGTACTGTATTGCTCGAATCGAACTGTTCTATCACTCCGGGTATACCCATGAACCAAGACTATACATATATGCAGTGCAACAGGAATAACTGCAGAATATACGTTGCGCATAAATTGTAACATTTCCGCGCAGCCCACGTCTTCAGATATTCCTGTCGCACTGTACATAAAAAATATAAACTACTATAGTGGAAGAAATGTAGATGAAAAATTGGGTATAAGGGTATTATACGGTACGGTAAAGGATTGATTTTTAGATGTTAAATCTGTGATTTCGTCCATCATATGAGATATGGTGGCATGTGTATGATTAAAATCTGTAAACAGTAGTTTTCGGCGTCGGCTTGTGTAAATGTGTACAGATTTCGATGGATTATTTTATTAGAGATTACGAAAAATACAGGGAGGCGGCTGTGCTGTCTCAATCGATGCTATTTGGAATGTTCAAGTACAAATCGACTGGAATAACTGAAGCAGTCAAGGTCACATGCGCAGTGGCTTAAAAAAATAGCACAAATTATTTCATAATCAATTCAAACACTAAATCAGCGCGTTTCTTTTAGAGATTTTTTAATTAAAGAATCTCTACTACAAATTGTTGGATAAAACAAAATTACAAATTTATTCGTCCTCTTTAGCTATTCTTATCGATCTGTACATAAATCCTGTCGCTTTGTACCTAATGATAAAATCTATATATCGAAATTGCGGTGAAATTATTTAGCAGCGTCGATTGCGGAGCAAATGGGCCTTCCACTATTTTTAAATGTGCAATTTTTCCAAGTACCTAATCGTGCAATTTGCCAAAGATATTTTTTAGTTTCGTATTAACGTACATATCACGTTAATTTTTTAGTCGCAAATGCAATTATTAAGTACCTATTGCCGAGTTACTTTAATTCCAGTTAATACCAACTCGGTCAAATAATGGATATTAAAGAGTATGATTAATTTTGATTTAATTAAAATTAAGAGACATTATTTTTTTGAAATATTTTCATGTATTTGTAAATCTAACACACGTTCCTTTTGGGAATTTATTCGTCAGTATTATTGATATTTTCGTTGTATTGATAATATTGCATTTTCTAGTCGTTCTATTCGTACTATTAATATTTAAAAAAAATCATTAAAATTACTAAAAATTAATAATTACAACGACAAAAAAAAGTAATTTCACGATGACAGCTATTTCTGAATTCGTACCAACCATTCGTCTCGTTAGAAATTTATCATTCAAACATCCGTGCATGCGGGGAATATAATTTATGTAATTACAGCAAAAAAAATCGTATTTTCCACCGTATCACTCGGAGAAATAACAAAATATTTGTTCAATTACTCCAGCAGGTACTCTTACCGATATTTCATCAGGTATTCTTTCCAGTGACTACGCAAATATGAATTCGATAATTTCGTTCTAAATCTTACAGTTTCGATAAATTAATTAGAGATTAGTAAGAGGAATGTTTATAAGTATCTACAGGAATTTTTTAATACATACAAGGTGTCCCAAATTCGTAGAATTATCTACTATACAATCTCTCTCTAATACTTCCCTAGCTGAATTTTTCTAAATTTGTACTTATCAACTGATTTTCTAACTTACTGTTTCATTAAATACGATTGCTAAATTTACAGAAAACATGAATAGAATCTGAAATATCATGAGTTCCAGAGCAAGCAGTTATCCCGCTGTCAGAATCGCATAACAAATTCTCCTGCTGTATTATGCACAAATACATTTCCATCCCCCGTATTCGTTTCGAACGAGCGCATACACTCGAAAATCGCGCGAAATTAAAGCTGACACCTGAAAGTCGAAAACTGAAAGCTGAAGTTCAACGCCTGGGGGGCGAGCCGGCACGTTGACGGGCCCCGGTGAAAGCCGAAACCGCCGCGGCGGAGCTTTCCGCCGTCGTGATCTTTCTCTACGGGCGTCGCGACGGGAGTATGGAATTACACGGAGCTGACAACACGGCTTTCTGCTTAATCTAATTCCGCTTAATCTAGGCCGTTAATCTCGCTCTGAAGCGATGCTCCAGGAATTTCGGACTCGCGCCTATCCGGTTACAATCCGGATAAAAAAATTGTATCGAAAAAGAATAAAAATATTGCTTGTTTAAATGGCAGGTATAATATCCTAAAAAAATGTATGTGAGATCCTTGAACATGTGGAGCTTTTGTGCGGTATCCTGTAAATACATTTTTTTCCTTAAAACGAGTCAATTATGATAATCCTTGAAACACATGGAACAAAATGGATATTTTTTTCAATAGACTAATGCTACAAAAGGAAGTATAAACATCGAGAGCCCCCATTCAATATTTTTAATTCACTTTTGAGAAAGTTATGCGACCGGGCGATTTTTCCGGTTTTTTCCATTTCGACGAAAGCCGAGCCGTAATTTACAGTCCGTTTACGGAGCGCCCGGAAAAGATTCCTCGGATGCCGTTCGGCAAACTTAATTTCCCACCGATCGAAATCAAACCCATAAACCCGGCGGATCATTTAAATTTAAAAGTCGAAAGCAGCGTAGCTCGTTCATTTCGAATGCGGAATGTACGATGGCGATGCTAAATCTACTGCGGCAGCTTTGCAGGAACGTTTCCTTCCGGTTCACTAATCGAACGGGCGCGATTTTTCGTCGAATTTACTCCCGCTCTAAATCGCATTAACATTCCTACGCGCAATTACCGCAATTTTGATATTTGTAGTTAGACGTTTGACGTGGGATTCGGGTGATATTTTGCGCAACCCCCGGGGAAGGTTCCAAGCGTCGAGAGCGCCGCGACGCGTATAGAGGAAAAAGAAATCTTGAGTTTCACGAGGAGACCTCGCGTTACGATTTCAATCCGTAGCCGGAGAGCCGGGAGGAAAAAGGCCGCTCGGAAATCAAGTCGCTCAATCAAGAAGGGCTGCTTTATATTCCTCTGACGTAGCCGCTCTGTTGTAAATAAAGATATGGAGGGGCCTTTTCGCGACTGCTAACGCCTAAGGTGATATTGTATCTATCTCTTCAGTTTCACTGGTTTATCCTATGGGGTATTTCAGGACGATCGCCCGGATGGGACGGGTTACGACTGTATTTATGTAATAAAGGGTGGAGGGTGCAATCTCGAAAATGGTGGTTGATAAGCTGCAGCTTCGGAAAATGGGATAAAAGAAACGGGAAATTGCGATAGTTTGCTATAATAACGAGAATTATAGTTCAGTAACGTACAATAATAATAAAATAAATATTGTGAGATTACTTTTTTTTTGTCAACTTAATGAGATTTTATACGGCATTCGTGTTGTTAACGCGAGACCATAATTCCGAAACGAAAAAACTTATCATAAGTACCACGTAAAATGTAAATAAAGAACATTTGTTAATTTTTTTTATTATTATTTTTTTATATTAGTCAATGTTATATGTATATTATGAAATATATGTAAATTATTTTATGTAGTTATCCATGTATAGCACAATTTATGTAAATTATCTATCCGAAGCTTGGTGGATGTTTTGTCACATGAAAAGTATTCTTTAACACACGGAAAACCAAATTAAATTAATAAATTCTGATCGTTGGTGCTTTTATTTTCCCTATTAAAATCTCCATTCCTTATTCAATAAAATCCTCGCTGGTAAGTAATCAAAAAATTACACTATTTTTGTAAAATTTCGCAAAATAATCTTCAGAAATAATTTCATTATTTCACTAAATATCTGCCCCTCGAATTGCTTTAAATAATAAATGTAAAAAATAGAACGTTGCTTAAATTTTCATATCAACTTCACAACAAACTGTCTAAAGGTACATTTAAAGAAAATCTTTGTCAATAAACGTAACATTGGCAGTAGTACCAAATGGTACTGCACAAAATAAAAATGAAGTTGAAGTGTCGAGCGGTTTTTCCCGACGTTCACGTCATCCGTTCACAGTTAAAGTAATTTTTCTCATCCGAACTTTTTTCCCGGTCGAAATTGATTATGAAAACGGTCGTATCGAAGACGGGCATCGAGGTGCTCTATCCGTGCACGATACATCTGCTGAAAAAGGCGGCGATCGTCGAATGCGAATACAAATCGGACAGCGTCGGCCAGGATCTCTTGGACTACATTTGCGATTATTTCCATTTCACCGACGCCGAGTATTGGGGCCTCAAGTTTATCGATTCCTACGGCCAGAGGCATTGGCTGGAGGCGGACAGATTGATTCGCGTGCAGGTTAAAAACTGCTGTCCCGTGCATTTCCAACTTAGAATTAACGTCTTCCCTCCGGAACCATATAAATTGGCCGACAAATTTACCAAGGATCAAATATTTATGCAATTGAGGTAATAATGTTCCAGTTTTCTATCTTATTGTATTCCTCTTTCCAGGAGCTAATTCAATTTGCAAAATTTCCCCAAAATACATAAGTTCGAAGGATTTTTTTAACCCGGATCCATTCCAGGCTGAGTCTGTTGAACGGCAGCCTAGGCTGCGGGTCCAACGACGCCCCCCTCTTCATCAGCCTCCTGCTGCAGTACAATTACGGCGACCACGACGAAAAAGTCCACTTCGGCAACTACGTCAAGGACAAGATCATCCTGAACCAAACGTTCGCGTCGGAGGTGAAGGCCATCGAGATCCACAGGACGCACCTGAAGGGCCTGACCGGCGAGCAGGCGCAGGACCTGCTGCTGCGGCTCTCCTGCCAGTCGGAGACCTACGGAGTGGACCCCTACGTGGTGGAGAACGAGAACGGCGAGAAGGTGGTCCTGTACATCAACTGCAACGGCCTGGCCACCTACAAGGACGCCGAGAAGGTGGAGGCCTTCGATTGGATGTCGATTGGCGGCATTTCGCAGGATAAGCGAACGTTGCTCGTACACTCGACGAAGGACGAGGTTGTTAGGTACGTCTGCGTGACGGAGGGAGAGTGCAATTACATCCGCTACAGCGCTGTGAACCATTTGAAATGCTTCACCGGGTCCGGGTACCAAAGCACCATGGCCGTCGTCGGCGTGAACGACGATAATGTATCGGATAAATTCATCAAGCAGGAAATATGTCGGTTGAACAACGACAAGAAAATAAAGCGCAACAAGTTTTGTAAGTTCTTCACGGCGTTCATTTGCTGGTACACCGTACTGTTCGCTGTATTCTTCATGATTTGCTTCTTTGTGCATCTGTTTGATCTAATCAGCTACGATTTATCGGAGATTACGAGAAAAATTACTTTACTCGGATGGCTGGGTAAGAATACGTAAATAAGTTTTTTTTTTCTAATATAATTATTTTATTATGTATGTACCTATTGTATTTATTAAACGAGTATTTTTTTAAGAAAAAAGATGATAAATAGGTAATAATATTAGAGGGGTTACTAGTACTTCATGCTTCCTAAAAGTTGTAAAAAATGTTGGTATCTTGTAAAATTCGAGAATGTGATAGCTGTTCTTATTGAATTATGAAAACTCTCATTATTCATAAATTCTGCGTATAGAGTTGATAATTTTTTCAACCACCATTCGATGCAATAATCCATCATCATTGCGCAATAGGAGTAATGCAATTGGATAAGAGCTCGTTAAGTTTTTGAAAAAGAAAACTCTGGAAGTACCATCAAATTGGAATAATGACTGCAATTATCCGTCACGTGACCTATAATTATCACTCAACGGTCGACGGTTTATAGCACCCGAGAGACGGAGCCGGCGAGAGCTACCTTCGGGGCCGCCTCAGAAGTCGAACGGACACGCGAACTGCCGTGCTCACGCCGGTCGAGTAATGTCCTCCCGATGGCGAAGCCATCATTCTAAATTGCCAATTTGTTTGGCCCTAAATGGTTGTCTCAAAAACTCCCGAATTGAATTCCGACGGCGAGGAGACGCCGTTGTAAAAGGGAGTTTCCGCTTTCCGAGCTGTTTTTAAAAGTCGCTTCAAGTCGAGTTTATGTTGAGAGCGCGGATCGTTCGATTTCTTTTTGCTGCAAGTTTTCCTGCTGTATACAGAGTGATTTGTTGGTAAAGTAGATAAAAAATATTTCTTACAAAAAAATTACTATTAAGTTATAGTTTATAGATCACTCTGTATATATACGGAATTTTCATTATTTGTTACAAATATAATTTTTTCAGCTGTTATTTGTAACTGTAGACTTTTTTGCTTTGTTCATAAAAAAATGGAAATCAAAGTAATTTGCGAAAAGTGCAACAAACAAGACAATAGAAAAATAGTCCAATTGTTTTTCAACTAGGTAAATCACAATTGGAAAAACTCGCAGCATTTACTGCGTCATGGAAAACTAATCGCGTTCGAATAAATGAAATATTTCGCCGGTGTTAATTCGAATCGATAAAATTCAATTAAAATCCCAAATAAAGCGGCATCGTGTTTCATATAAATAAACGCACTTACAGGGTCATTCTTCTATCGTACACAAGCAAATTGCAACGAGGATTTTTCACGGAAAATGCAAATAAATATATCGAAGCACAATTGGAAAAAAATTTTAAACCTTAATTAGATAACTTCAAGATTTTATTACTAATGTAATATGTCTAATAAATTAAACAAGATATTAGGTATTAGTTATTTTTATGTTTTTAAATGTTACTAAAATATTATAGGTACTATTCGCAATTTATTAATGCAATTAGTTATTGTCAATTTACTAAATAATTGATCTCATTAGGAAAATATATGTCAAAAATATTCAAAACCTCTTGAAAAAAAAATGGTATACTTTCTCCAATCTCCCTGTAAATGAAACTGTGGGATAAAATATATAAAGCGGAAATGGAAATATAAAAATTTCCGCGATTGATGACGAGCGGAAAAGCGGCGGGAGCGATGAAAATAACACAAATCGACGGGATGAGCACAGACTCTAATTCGTCAGGATTTTCGAAATCATATCATCGGAGGGCCGCTTTGTGTTCACGCCGGTAGACTGGCCAGTGGCCGACGCTCTCGAGGGAAATTCAATCAACGGGTCGCCGCCGCCGCCGCCGCCGCCTCCGCCCGCTCCCGCCTCTCTCGCCCTTCGCTCAATCTGCACCGATACGGCGATGCAGGACCGGTTTTACAGGGACGCAGGGATAGCGCTAATTGCAGGATAGCATTACGTCCGGCAGTCTCTTTGGTCAACGATACTGCTATGTACAGATCAGATTTACATACTATTTTAGGTATTATCCTGCCCTACTCGATGCGATAATAGGTATAAAAATTAGTCCACAAAAAAGATAAATGTAAAAAATATTAAATTTAAATTTAAAAATTAAAAGATACCATGATAAATAAAACAATTTTAATATCTTCAATCTTCCCTCTATGTAATAAAGAAGTTCTTATATATTTTGATTTTTTATGTTATTTATACAAATAAATTTAGTCAAGTAATAGTTTTAAAGAAAAATACTTTACTATCCTCTCATTTCCTTATGCTACATTTTTTGTTACATATCTATTAGGATTAAATTTTTAGAGGCATGTTATGATGCGAGTTAGTGTAAATCGGAATTAGAGAAGGCTCTTTTCGGTCTCGAGAGGGGCAATTAGATAATTTAAAATTCTCGAAACGCGCCGAAGAGCCCTTTGCGGAATCGAATATAACAGTGTATAAGAGATCGCGTATTATCGAAACCTGATCAGAGCTGAAAGCCGTTTACAAACCACATCACATTCTCGGAGATAAAACGTCGACGCCGACGTCGCCGCCGCCGCCGCCTCGCCGCCTCCGCGTCGATCGGGCGACGGTGGAAGCGCCGCCGAAAGAGGCGGCGTATTATGCAAAGCGTATTTTAAAACGTAACATTATCCGAATTTTATTTATTTATTTGACAATAGGCTCACGTACGGGCGCCCGAGTCTTCGGTAATGCAATTTGAGGAATAGTGAACGGCCGATCCGTCTCCCGGCGATATGCGAGGGGGACGATAGAAGGGATTCCGCTGGGCCCGCCTCCTGCCTCCTGCCTCCTGCGACGGGGGATGGGGTGGCAAACGACGATACGTCTTTCTATTAGCATATCGGGTGTCGCGCGAACGGCATAGTTTCCAATTTTGCCCGGCGTTTCGGCCTTTACTCGACTCCATTCGATCGAGTTTTTTATGGGGAGGACAATCGGAAAATTCGACCTAACATCTCTCTAACATAATATACAGAGGGTTCTCCGATACTTATGTGATATGAAGTTCTTTTGCTTGTTTACGAAATAAAAAAAAATTGGAAACAAACTTTCGAACTGACACGCAATTATTTAGTGTTAGAAAAATATATCGAATTTACCAAATTCATGGTTGGTAGAGGTATAAAAAATTCATCAAAAAGTTCGATTTCACACGAGTTATATACACACTACTTCTACCACTTTTAATATTTACAAGTGATAGATAAAAATTAAATATTTCGCAACCACATTTATTTTTACATAATTTATTTACTTTAGATAAACAGGAATAAAACCGCCGTGCATCGGCTGATCCTGCGAGGAAAAAGGCCACTTTAATGGCCGGCAACAGCCCTAAGAAACCGGTTAATTGATCAGTAAAACCGACCGTTAATTTTTATTATCTCTCCTGTCTTAGGAGCGTAGCTGTCATGTTATACGAGCCTCCTGTCAATACCATGGATTATTCAAAACGGAATTACGACCTGTAAACGGTCGCTTTAAATTTGCCGGTTAATGAGTTTTGATACCGCCGCTGCGCCTTCGAGAGGGATTTCTAAATAAATGATTTTTATAGCCGAGAAGTTAAGACACATTCAATTTCTAAATCCTGCAATATTTATCGCAGGTCTATTGGATCCTCGAACGATATTTCCGGATCTTATATGCTTTTCTAGGAGGTACTACAAGTTGTTTTTCTATACAGCTTTAACTCTTAAGGAGTATTTTAATTTCTATAAATTGAGGTGATTGAAGTAGGGAAATTTGTTGATAATGGAAAGTAGCGAGGAAATTACTAGATTTTCCGGGGGCCAGTCAGAGTCAGAAGCGGTAAGGAACCTCTTCCATACCAGCCGCTCGGCGGAACAAAACAACGCGGCTTGGTAGATATTCATATATAAATATATAAAATTTCCATTTGGAAAATGGTGGTTCATAATAAATTTAAGAACGGACAGTCAGTCTGCATATTCGTAGCGCGACGTCGGAGCGCCCACACGTGTATGTGTTCCGTACGTATGTATATATGCGGATACACGAAGTGCCCCTCGACGCAAAAATGACCCCAGTTGATTCGTCGGGCCCCTTTCGAAACGTGACAAAATCTCCGTGGGGAGTTTAAAAGCGCTCCGTCGCGGAAGCGGTCGCGTCCTTTCCTTCCATATCCGCTTTACACGGACACCGACACTTTGATAATTCAAAATATTTCATGTCTGGAAATATGTCGAGATGTATATGTACTTATTACGGACGTTTCCAATGCCCCCGGGCATTTTACTTTCGAAATTTCTCGGAAGAGTTGCTTCTTCTCCGCATATACCCGACGAATCGACCGGATTAAAAATGCATGAACGGCTTTTTCGCTTTTCTGATGACGACTTTATGCAATTTATCGAATGCATGCTACATACTATCTTCCGTTTCTATTCTCATACAAAATATCCACAAAAATATACAAAGAATAAACATTATAATCAAACATATAAGTCCTTTGGAATTGGTTTTCCAGGATTCCTAAGATTAACAAGTCACTTTCTAGTAACACAACAACGCTTGACCTCTCTTACAACTTCTTTAATATCATTAAGTTGATTCATAAATATAAAAATATTTGCAAGATTTTTTTGTGGAAAACCATGCAGGTTCGTCGCCGCGAAATCTCATTTGCCTACAACCAGACGCGTCGTTAATAATTCAAGAAACGCTAAAGTGCATGTAACCCATAAAACGGCATACGAGACTGCTTAGTATCCATAAGGAAATCCCTTACAGGAACGTCGGCAATTTGGGAGAGTCGCCTATGAAATTGTCTCCCCGCCGTGGAGGACTCTAAAATATGGATGACGCCGGCGAGCGTATGGAAAATAACCGCAAAAAGCTGAATCCCAAAATATCTCATCAACCGCGCGCCGTGTTCTGATGTGTTTCAATCATCGGGTATTATATGATGGAAAGTGTTCATTGCACTTGAATCACCCCCATTGGCGTTTCGATAGAGAAATTTTACTGATACTTGCAGGAAACCTTACATAAAAATGTTAGAGAATTAAAAAAAAAGTACATCTACAAGTCATTGTTGGTATAATGTTGTGG